TGATAAATTCAGCAAAGTTGTCATTTAAACATTCAGACATTCAAGTGTTAGCAACAAATCATACTGCTCTTTGCTCCAGAACAAGAGCACAGAATTCAATGTGAGATGCAACGCGCAGAAGCAGTGGGCTAACTCGCCCCTGTTTCTTTACTAATTGCCTTATTTTTAATATGCTGTCAGCTCCTTACAGCTTGCATCTCTTGTATCTGAGCACACTTGCTGTAAAATGACCTTTAGAATCTGTTCCTTATACTTCTTTAAGTCTTCCCAGAAGATCTGCATTTGTCAAAATGAAATCAGCTGGGCAGTGTGGCTTTAGGCTGGAGCCCTGCCCTGCCTGTTTACCTGCCTGCAGGTAATCAGTGGCGCCCTGGAGCTCTTGGAGGCTGACATTCCTAGCGCTCGTTCCGCGCACACACGCCCCTGCACAGCGAGGCTCTATAAATAGTGTGCACACGTGTGCCCCACGTCGCTGTGCTCTCAGCACAGGAATGTGTTGTGTTGGCACGGAACCCAAGGAGGTTGCACATGTTTAGCATCCTGGGAGACAGCCAGAAAGGCTCCCCAGACAGGCCCAGCCTGGAGTTTTGCTGCACCGTCTCACCAGCACGAGCAGGGGAGAAGGCTGGTAGGTGAAACAGTTAATCAAGCAGTGGCTCTGCAGAAGCTGTTGATGGGGAATGAGGGAGACCAGCTAGAACCATCTATCCTCATGTGTCTCCCACTGCTATCAAATATCGCCTTCCGTAAGCTCATGCTCAGAGCAGAGAGACAAAAATTGCTATTGACAGAAGTACCCCGCAGACAAGGGCCTCTGCTGTAAAGCTGCTAGCGTCTTGCATGGTGGAAACCTATTTTAAATGACAACACAACACTAATGCTATGGAAGGACCATGTTGTATGTAGTTTACAGAATTATGGGGAGGAGGCAGAAAACAAAAGTAAAGCTTGCCTTGACAAATATCATCACGTATTGAAAGGCTCTTATCTTCCAGCGCTGAAAATGTTTGCGAAAACACTCTCTGTGCATCAGGGAACTAAATACTAACCATGGGAAACAGCTATTTGAAAGCAATAGCCATTTGAAAGCAATGGCCTGATGGGCTGGCCAGCGATGATATACTGCTCAGTGCACGTTCACGAACAGGGGGGAGCAGAGCTGGCGTCCCACAGCATTAACCCCTTCTCACTGGTCACAAAATAGAGCCACCGTGCACAATCCTGCCTTAATTAAAGGATTATCGGAGCGAGAGCAAGGGGGAGAGAGTGTGTCATCAGAACTGAGATCACTAATCTGATTTACTGTTCAAAACCCCTGTGTCTTTGATACCCCAAACAAAAAAGCTAAGCTTAATGTTGGCTTAGGCACTACATTCCTCCCCTTACCACATTATCTGACTATGTATGTCACGCACTAATTATAGTTATCTGAACAACACTTAGTGAGGTTGGGAAGTACTAATGTTGTAGGTGACAAGTCTGAACACAGAGGAAAGCACAGACTAACAAACCAGTTTCAGTTTCTAAGGACCAGCAAAGACAAAGCAACAGTTAGTCTCTTTTCTTAAAATGTCAGCACCATATTAGCAAATTTTTCTCTTCACTAGCGCTAAACCAAATCCCGAAATCATTGCTCAAAATTCAGAATGAAATTATTATGGGGAAAAAAATTGCATTATAATATTTGCATTTCTAAAAACATTTAAAACATATCAGTAATCATTTAAAAAAAGAAGTAGGATTTAATAGTATCTCATTGGGATATTAGCTCTTGCTCTCAGGAGGCATCCAGAAGTGCTTTTCAATATTTCAGTATCTGTTAGGCAGTGATTGCCGTTTATTCATCTCTCCCTAGTGGATAGGGAAGTAGAAGGTAAATACTCCATCTTCATCTCCAAATTGCATCAGGGCCTACCCCTGTTCTCGACGGAAGAAGAAATCTCCTCCCCGCCACCCCCTGGTGTGGTGGGGCCATGGGAGCCTCTCCTGAGCACCCCCATTTGAACACAGCCCTTCAGGAGATGGCTAAAGCCTGCAGGGCTTGGGCAGATCCCAGAGGATATTTGTTATTGAAGCCAAATATTAGGCAGGCCCTTTTCTGTCACCTGCATCCCATGGCTTTTATCCCTTTTCTATCATTTTCCATGCTAGAGCAGGGAGCTGCCTATTTTACCAAATCTCTATGTTTGTGTTTGTTTGCTGTTAGGCTCATAAGCAAAGGGAAGCTTTTGTAGCATCCCTTGATGCACTCCTTGAGCCGCTTCCAGCCTGGCTAGTTTTAATTCTTCCCAAATCTGAGTTTCAAAGTAAGTCCATTGCTACCAAAAGAAAAAAAAAAGTGTGTGTAACATTTCCTAGCACAACTTTATTTCTGATACATTGTGGATGGAAAGAGCCCTCAGCCCAGCAGATCACTAGAGTTCTTGATATCAGCTTCCAGCCTCACTGACGTTTTAGTAAGCTGTCAATGAGTTATACGATGCCTGTTATGTTTGTGAAAGAAAATTATGCAGTCTGTTGCTGTTATTAGCTATCAAATTCCATAGATGCTAGAGATGATCCTGAACCAATATCCATGACTTGAACCACACCAAAATTATTTGAAGGAAAGCTTTGGGTTCCCGGACTTTGACAGAGGTCCACATTTCACTGCCATTTGCTATCTCGGGAAAACCTGGCTGGAATGGCCAGTCTCAGTACTCCCAAAAACTGGAAATGGAAAGAGAGTTTTGAGCTTCTCTTGAATTTTCATCAGGGACTATTTCTAATTATCCTCTGTTTATCACATCCACTAGATTTGATAGTCTACTTGCATGTACAAGGCATCAGGTGGAAATTAAGGTCTTTAGCCACAAAACAGGAAAAGTCTGGACCTTGCTCACATATCCCCACAGTATCCTGCTCATCTGTCCAGTCCTCCAGTGGGAGGGCTCCTGCCTTCCTGGCCACATCAGAAGAAAAAGGCTTGCTAAGGGGTCCATTGCATTCAGGAGTCTAATAACACAAGGTTGTTTTACAGAAAGCAAAACCATCCATTGATCCATCAGTACTGCAAACACAAGAGGCTTGGGAAACACGGCACTTTTCATCTCCTAATTGATTTTCTAGAAGTGAGACATTTATTTGGGCTCTTGTCTGCACCCATGCTCTGGTATCTAATAATGTGCAGGCTTGCAAAGCAGTCCTAGGTGGAAAGTCCGCTCTCCTTTTGGCACGGTTTCAGGAGACTTGTGGGATCACACTGATCTCTTATATTTCTATTTTTCTACCAAACTGCAATAAAATCAGCTATCTGCCTTAAATGGCACTGGGGAAGGAACCCACCCCATCGATATCCACATGGGCACAGTGTCATTGACAAGCCTATTTCCACAGGAAATTGCATTAAGAAAACTATTTAGATTTTTCTTTAATGAATAGGAAGAAAAAACATCCTCTACATACAGTTCCTCTAAATTGTCATACCACAATGCAGACGCGCAAAGAAATGACCATCCCACTCTCAGAGGCCCAGTTATGCTGGGAGAGATTTACATCCGTTGTGCGAAATGCCATAAAAATAAGTGCTGGGATCTTTAAAACATGCATTTTGCATTGCCCTGCTGAAGAGCCATGAGGAGCAACACAGAACCGACGGCAACCAAAGGGCTGCCGGGGCGAGCGCGGCAGCGGCTCCCGCTCGAGCGCTCCTGTTGCCTTGCGGCCAGCGCAGGTGGGTCGATCCCGCACGCTGCAAGAGCCACGTGTTTGTCGTGCTCAGCCTCTGAAAGGCCGTGCAGAGCCAGCCTGAGCCGTTAGCGTGGCGTAGACACATCACTCACTGCAGGAATTAATGCACTGGAGTAGCAGGCCCGTGGTTGACGCTCACGGGGTGCAACTGAAATCTTATGGATTAGGAATGCTTCTGAGAAGATCTTTGCAATCATCGGTAATAGATAGTAAAATAAATCCACAGCTATATCCTGCAGACTGCAGCTGGGCTTCTGTTAAAGTAGCATTAACTGATGATTTTTAAATCCTTCTGTCAGCTAGAACTGTAAGCACCAAATACTCCCGTGCAGAAGAGAGCTCATCCTGGCTGATATCTGTTGCTGAGCATGAAAGCCCTGGTTACTGAATAATGAAAGCACCAAGGCAGACTCGCACCTCGGGGCTTCACTCCCACAGTCAGCTCTCTGGACAGAAACCCTTGTGTCCCCACGTAGCTGGCTGTGCAATGGTCTGGGCGAGCTAAGACTAGATGTCTAATCGTGATATAAAATAACACAAAATACTTACGTAAGCCTTTACCCAGGTGGAAGATGTGCTGAACCAATGTGTCCAGGCTGGCTTTGCTCATGCTCATGACTTATTGTACAGGCTTATGGTTAACTGAACATATATGCCCATTAAAACCTGAACCAAAATTGAAAGGGATATACAGGTTTAAATTACAGCAAGAATATATTTACGGGCTTGTTTCTCTTGCCTGGAGAGTTATGGAAGAAGCCTCAAACAGCAAAACAGTCAGCATCTCTGATACGGGAACCCGATGCTCCCCTGGGAACAAGAAAGGAGAGGTGTTCAGCACTATAAAGTTACTGCGTTTATCGTAGTAACAGCCCGGAGCACCAGCCATGGAGCAGGAACCCATAGCAACAGTCACTGTAGGAACAAAAAGCAGCTTTGCAAATGCAGTATCCTTGTGAGATAAGTACGACACAGATAAGATAAAGCACAGAGAGGTTAAAAAATAAAAAAATAAAAAGATAATGGTATTAGTAGCACTGTTAAGCAAAAGAACCCAAGTCCTGGCTCTCTCTTCCTAGGGAAAGGCTTCAGTCCAGACTGGCTACAATTCGTCACCTAAGGAGTGGTTTCTTGATGGCGTAAAAAAAAATGTTGACCAACCCTACAGTAAATGATTTACTTATACAACTTGGAAGGAAAAGGAAAGCTAGCAGAAGCTCATTTACATGGTTCTGTTATGTACGTATTATGTTTGCTTTGTTTTCATTTAGGAATCTACAAAGGACATTGCTTCCGAATCAACCATTTCCCTGAAGATAATGACTATGACCATGACAGCTCAGAATACCTTCTCCGTAAGTTGAAAAGTAATATATAATACACAGGCTTAACAGAAGTAGACAGAAAGTTTTCCTTTCCTCTTCTGTGAAGTCAAACTCAAGTCTTACTCATTGCAAGAGGTTAGCCCAAACTAGGTGCAAAGAGCAGTCATAACCTATGTCCAGTTCAGACTGCAGAAAATACAAGCCACAACTTTCCTCCAGCCAGGGCAACTCACACGATTCTGGTGCCCATTCTCTAAAACTTATCTGGCCATCTGCTCCAAGAGGGATCTGAAGGGCATCACTGTGGAGGAGAAACAACCCCATCCTTTGCAGCTGCTGGGACACTGAGCTACTGGATTTTGAGAAGGAAACTAAGTTTTATGCAGATAACAGCAACGTTTTAGCATGAATGTGGGTTATATCCTTCCACACTGATCCCTCACCCAGTTGTTGCTTTTGCAGAGCAGTGAAGCTAAAAGAAATGCCCTTTACGAAGGAAAGGGACCACAGTTCACAAGGTGTGGGGAAAGCTTCAGGGAGCAATGAATGAGGCTGCTGGCTCATGCATACAGCAACTCAAAATGCTTTAATTATGCTCCTATTAATTACCTGAAAAAAAGGTACTTAGAAAACCACTTTGTCCTTCTGCTCATTTCTGGGAAACAGCTTCTGTTTGCTAAGATGGAAGGAAAAAAAATCTCTTAGAAAGGTACAGTTACGAGAAAAACCTAGATTATTTTTCATCTTTCCTCTTGTCAATTTAGATCAGTCATAGTGCTTGTGTGACATGATTTCCGTGCTCAGTCTAAGCAAAATAGCAGAGTGTGAGCATGGATGCATTTATCTTTCATGCAAACCATTGGAACTAATGTTAAATTGATTCCTAGTCAGCTATAGGAAAAAAATATCATTAGTAAAAGGTCTGTAAGTGAAAGAGCAATTAAGTAGGATCTTGATAAATGTGTATTATGCCTTCTTTATTTGGAGAAAAGAGAGAACTGGGAAAAACAGCGTAGAGCTCCTCAGTAAGACAAGGATTTCATGCTTTCTAAGTGCAGGGGGGTAAATTGCAAGTATACTTGTGACTAATGACCCTAAAGTCTATTTTCCAAAGTGACTAAGTCCAGATCTAAAAAATAATTTGGTCCAAGCCTTTATGAATTCTGCAAAATCAGAATTCAGCTGCTCCCCACCACAAAGGATAGCTTATCCTTTCATAGTCTGTATAGAAAACAGGACTCTCCTTCTTTAACTTTTACGAGAAAAAAGCACAGTTCTACTTAAAATGCATGCAGCTGACAGTAGAGATTACTGAAAGGTTATGTCTCTAACTCCAGCAGTAAAGAGCTCAAACACATCTGTAATGGGGACTGAATGATTAGCTAGCTAGACACAAACATGGAATGTTTTCAACCTGCTTAAAAGGAGATCTGAGACGATGCTCCTCATCCTTGCCCTCTCTGCAACACCTTGGCAATCTGCTGTCTCCATATCATCTGTCATGCTTTTTACCCATTTCTTGGCACAAATCTTTTGAAGGGATGTGTTGGGAATAGCCCTTATCATTTTTAATTATATCAGCTAAAGGGAAGAACTAGTTTCTCTGCAGGCAAATTCTGAGCTGTGTAGGTGAGGGCACCACACAGCCTCATTTTGTGTATATTGTCCTCCTGGAAGAGCAGCATTTTTGACATTTCAGGCTGCTCCACAATTACCAACCTAATATGCACATCAAATAAATGTAAGTGTTATGGAGTGTTAGTAGAATCAAGCCCTGGTTCGAACCCTATTGAAATCAATGAAAAAAAATATTGCTTTAAGGGGTTTAGGTCAGAGGATGAGCAAGAGTCTGGATTTTCCCGTTTGTCATTCAGGCTCCTTCCTGGAAAATCACACAAATGACAACCACACTGACTACTAATATGTGCAAAGCAGCTTATCCAAGACCCCTCCTATTCAATCTTCCCCAATGATAACACACTGCGCTCCGAGCATATCTTAAAAGAAAAAAATCCCCTTCACATGTCAGTACAGGGGCTGCCACCCACCCTTGCACACACGCTGTGATGCAGGGGCTCCTCTTGCATTTCTGCAGCCACACAGAAATCAAGCTGTCCCCATCCAGCACCACATCAAAGCACTTATATATGTCCCTTTGTGGCAAATAAGATGTAAGCTGCTCTTACTGCCATAGCTCACTCAGGCAGTGAGTTTTGTGAGGACATTGCGAGGTCTGTCGTGGCACAAAAGCACGTGTGTGAAGCGGAGGAGCAGGGCCCCCATTTTCATGTGCATTTCTGCAGTTCTGTGCACCTCTTCCCAGGGCTCTGTAGCACCACGTTTTCAAAGCTGAGCCCGCGTGCTCTCTTACCTTCTGCCCTTCTGAAGCGAACGGAAGGGGAGCCGAACGCCGGAGCGCGCAGCCCCGTGGGGAGGAGCAGCTCCGACGCCGCAGCCTCCTCCAAAAGGAGGTGTCAGAACAGATCGTGGTGCACAGCAGCCGATGCGAGCAGACAGCACGGTAAACAAGAAAAAAAGTGGGAGAGAAAACAGAAACCAGAGTCTCTTAATATTTTTTGATATGCTGTCATTTTATTACCAGTATCAGGAGACATATGTAAATTCTGCATGTTACATATGAGCTTCCTTTTCTACTGCAGAGCTAAAAGTATGCATTTCAGGGAAAAGCCCTGTACGGCTGTATAGGAAGACAAAACCATATGTTTTGTCTCTCTTCACATTAATTACCTAATAAAGAAAAATTATCTCTGGAGCTTATTACTAGAAGTAGAGCAACCCGCACTGTGTATTTGGCATGTCTAGCAAGGTCCTTCTAATAATGTGACCAAAGCATTTTAGGAAAGCTTTTAAATTTAATTGAAACCATTATAAACAGCGTGAATATAAAATATAAAAAGCACAAAACACAGAAGGCTACTGTAGTTTTAAAGCCAGTGCTGCTTTTTCAGGTCACTAATAAGTAGCCAGTGATTTGGGGGCTGCTAGTATCTGAGTGCACAAATGTCATATCCTTAGAATAAGAGGCTGAATCTTTTCCCCAAAATTTTCTTCTAGAAACAGACCCGAGAGTCCAGTCACCATTACCTCCCAGTGCGCGTGCTGGGTTATCCCCAGGACAACAGAACGCGCTCTCAGCACTCGTCCTGCTTTGATTAGTGACCTTACACCCTCGTTACTTGGACTTGCCAATTATTGCAGGATGCCACCTGCATAGCAATGCACCAGAGTGTTTGCATCGATTTAGGGCTGCTTAGAAAACGCCCTGTCTGCAGAGACCCATGTAGCAATGTTAGCAGCTATGGTGGGAGACCATAGGGCTTTTCTCACTCTGTTAGATCGATACAAGCAAAGGCTTCCCAGCAAGGAAGGTCTTTTTATGTGTGTCACACCAGCCTGCTGGGGCCTGGGTACAGAATGTGGGTAGCAGGGGGCTGCAGCACACGCAAGAGCGATGCTGTTATTAAACACCCACTCCTGTCCCTCGTGCAGTCAGTGGCTCTGGTAAATAGCCAGGTTAGATGGCACTTCAACCTCTGCCATCAAGCACAGAGCGAGAAAACATCGGCTGCGACATCTGGCCACTTCTCCGTGCAAGAAGGGGGCCGCTCGCTGTGCCTGGCACACAGCAAGTCGGCACCCAGGAGGGCCCACACCATCAACGGCTCCGTCTCAGCAAACTGGGCCAGATGGTGGTTTTCTCCTCTCCATGGGCCCCGAGGGTCCCAGCACTCCCCAGGGTGCTGGGGACAAAGCTCTGCCCCCAGCAGCCTGCAGCATCCCTGGCCCCGCTTGCCTGCATCCCACTCACCAGCCCCCCTGTTTTTATGGGGGCAAACCTGGTTTTCCACAATTGTGTTCTGCATTCATGTTCTGCCTTTTATCTCCCCTTCCACAAAGAATCCTCTCCATATATGTAACAATATAACTTAGTTCCTCTATAGCCTTTCAGGAAGTGCCAAGTTGAGCCCTTTTGCTTTTACACCACCTTCTTTTCCCTTCTGCCTGTTTATTCTTCCTGCATCCTTTCATTTCCTCCTTTCCGCTTCCCTTTTGATTGCTTCTTAGCCTGTCAGTGACCCAGTTTTGAAGGCTGGCTTGAAGTAGTATTTTGAATTTTTTTTCAGGGATTTTATGTTGATGAATGGACTAAAACACACAGAATTGTAAATGATTCCACTTAGCTGTCAGGAAACGGAACACAAACATCTGAGCTACGCTTGTTAAAACATCTTCTGCAGAATGTGGAGAGGCCTCAATATCTTGAGTATTCACTGAGAGAAGAAGCATTATTGGCTGTGCTAGCTGGTAACATGAACACTAGATTTTATAAGCTATAATTTGCTCACCTTGTGCACATCTCGACATGCAAATGCTGTCCCCAGAGCTCTGCACATCGCGGGGTTTCGAGCCAGCCCCGAAGCGGCTCCCTGCATGACGATGCGTGGTGCCCTCTGTGCGTGGTCAGACCTGCCCCATACGCAGTGATGTCCCATTAGGGCCTCCTAGGAGAAAGCACCAAAAAGTTAAACCTCTTGAAGGAGAAGCAAGTGCAGCCACAGCTGCTTTGTCTCTGTCACATTAACTACAACTACCTACTCACAGCCTTGGCCCTAAAAAATCTGCCCAGAAATTCAGAACTGGTGATAATTCCAGCAAAAGCCCAGGGTTACCTTTGGAAAGTTTACCTTGTAATCTCCATACTAGCACCTGGAGAGGCATCTGAAATGCTCATTATCTGTCTTCTATTTTTTTGTTTCTCTCCCCCTCAGGCATTGTCCGTGCCTCCAGCGTGTTCCCCATCCTAAGCACAATATTACTGTTGCTGGGAGGACTTTGTGTCGGAGCGGGGAGGATTTACAATAGCAAAAACAACATTATTCTCAGCGCTGGGATTCTTTTTGTTGCAGCAGGTATGTTCTCCCTGAAATGGAGTCCTAAACTGAAAATGCAAAACTGCAGCCAGGGCTTGGCAGAGAGCGCTTCCTCGAGCAGCAAGGCTACCCAAAATCATCTAGCTGGGCCACAGTAAGGCTGGGTTCTCTAAAAGTGCCCAGAGCCCACTTCAGAAAGATGCTCTGTCACATCCCGAGCTCTTCTGCTCTTTCTGGAATTTCCTTTCCTCGGTTCAGATCCCCTTAGTGCATTTTTCTTGCATCATGGATTCGAGTAAACAGCTTTACACCGCTGATAAGTTTATGCTACCAACATGCTTATATGCAAAGGAGGAAATCCTGTTTGCCTTACTCACTCCTGATGAAAGCAAGCGCAAGGCAAGCAAGTCATATTTAGCGTTCAGGCCTGATGCAAATCTTCGAATTTATGTTTCCCATTGAAAAGCATGTTGGTATTTCTCTTCAATATACTCTAACCTGGATTGAGGGCACTGGCAATGTCACACTAAGCATATTTCTTAAAATACAAACCTCTTTTTGAAGCTGCAAAATAAGTAAAACTTGAAAAAGCTTTCATCTTTCCTGGAAATAAAATTTCAGGAAGCTAAGGTAGCCTACATGCAGTTTTAACTCTACTTAAAAGGTATTAAAAACTGAATCAGATGCCTCCTACACCCAGGGCATTTTTTCTCTTCTAATTGATGGGAGAAAAATTCACCTGTGATAATAGGAGCATGTTTTTCACACAAGAAACATCTCAGAGAGGCAGGCACATTGTTAATATCGTTCCCTGAAGCCCGGATTTAAGCATGCTGCATTCAGATGAAAATTCATCAGAGTAAAAGAGAACTTATGTTGATCAAGGTGAACAGCCATAGCCCTGAGCTCAAAATGTGTTTTTATTATTATTTTGAATGTTAGAATCCCACTAACAGTTTTAGCGAGTTCCCATTTGCTGCTTTGTTCCCACAATGGCAACAAAGTGATGGGAACAGATCCTGCTCTGCTGAGACCTTTGGGATCTTTGTGGGCAACCTTGAACCGCCATGACCATGTGCAGAAGGACGTTGCTTGGTGTCCATATGTGAGCCTGCTATTTTCTTTTCAATAAATAAATGAAATCTTTACCTAAATGAAAGAATAAATAAATCAAATGAACCATTCAAGTCCAAAAAGCAACACAGTTTTGATGTTTGCCTTCCCAGCCTTGTAACTGATTTATGTTTCTCTCTCCAGGACTAAGTAATATCATAGGGATCATTGTCTACATATCAAGCAATGCAGGTGACCCAAGCGACAAGCGAGATGAGGACAAAAAGAACCATTACAACTATGGTTGGTCTTTTTATTTTGGAGCCTTGTCTTTTATTGTGGCTGAGACCATAGGCGTTCTGGCTGTGAACATTTATATTGAGAAGAACAAAGAGCTGCGCTTTAAGACCAAGAGGGAATTCCTTAAGACTTCCTCCAGTTCTCCTTATGCCAGGATGCCAAGTTATAGATACCGGAGGCGGAGGTCCAGATCCAGTTCTCGATCTACAGAACCTTCCCCATCTAGAGACATTTCTCCAGTTGGCATGAAGATAGCAAGTACCATTCCCATGAATGAAATTTCCATGTACACCCTTTCCAGAGAGCCTCTGAAGGTTACAACTGCTGCCAGCTACAACGCAGACCAAGAGGCCAACTTTCTGCAGGTTCATAACTTCCTTCAGAAGGAATTTAAGGAAGGACTCCATGTCAACATGGTCAACAGGAGAACGACGCCTGTTTGAAATACCTTGCTTCCTTGTGCTTTTTGAAGAAATACCTAAATGTAATGGATCTTTCATGAAAGAAAAGGAGCGATGTTAAATTACCCTCTCACCTCTTTAATTGTGGCATGTGTTGAAGTAGCAAGTGGAGATCCTCTGGACCTACAAATGATATTACATGCTCATAGCTTTTTTGAAGCTATTTGGAGTTTGTTTCTTTCAGTTCTTGGTGTCACGAGATGAAGGCAGTTCATGTTCCTGCACTTTTGTAGTGTGTACAATGTCTCAGTGAAACTGCGGAAGACTTGCCACCAGTGTGTTTTAAAGGATTACAGAAGAAGTGCTGTATGCCTTTTTTTTCTAAAATCGAGACCCCATACGATAAACTTGCGAATCTAATTTATAACGAAGCCCAAGGATGAATATGAACTACTCCTCAAGCGATCGATTTTCCTTTGACACAGGAGAAGCTTTGCCTCTTCAGAAATAGAAAAAGAAAGGAAAATGGTGGCTGAAACTGGCCTGTGCCACTGAAGCTGCGGGGCACCCGTGTCCTGAGTGTCCCCGACTCCCTGACGGGGCAGTGTTCAGGGAGGCTCCTACCCTGCTCTGCGGGTGTAGGGCAGCCCCCAGGCAGTGCAGATGAAGGGGGGAAGCGGGTGGGTGCGCCTGAAAACACCTGGACGGGCAAGGACGAAAGCAGGTGGGACTTGAGCATATTGCAAATATCATTTCTTGCCTAACATTTAGAAAACTTGAATTCTCTACGACTAGCCCTAGTGCCTGATCCTGCGAGGTGCTGAGTGCTGTCAGGAGCAGGCCCCTATAGACTACTTATAGCGAGAGCGAGAAGCAGAGCCGGGCTGGGGCGGGTGAAGCCGCCGGCTGCGGGCGGCTGCGTTCCCGTTCTCCTTATTGCTTCACAAGTGCAACACTAACGCTAAAGGAAACTCAGATATCTAAGCAATGCGTGTAAGAGAACGAAAAGCTAATATGTTTGGACTAGCAAATCTTCCTGCAGCAAATGGGAACTGAACGTTAACATAACGGATGACAACTTTGTATTTTTTAAACTAGAACAGAAAAAAAAATCACCGTTTATGAGATATTTATTAAACTCTTTTTATTATGAATAAGTGCCACATGGTGCAAGGTATAGTTGCTTTTAGATGGAAATGAAGGTTCAACCTAATTTAATTTATTTTGTAATGATGAATCTACTTACGTGCAGAGAGCCCACAGAAAACCCTATGCATCACGTAAGGGAGGGGGAACTAATTTGTACCCATTTTGCTTCCATATAATGTTTCTAAAAAGGTCTGATTTTTCTTTTCTTTTAAATTTCTACTTTTATTTTTACACTTTGGCTTGGCTTCCCAAAGCTCAAGGGTCTGATTCAAAGGTAATTTACTCTGATAGGAGTCCCTTAGCTTTCAGTGACCACTCAAGCAAGCCTTATGAGAATTAGGTGCCCCTGGATGAATCAGGTGCAATGAGAGAGGAGCAGCTAATTCCTTTGGATTCCTTTGGACATAACCAGGTTTTCTTTGCCCTGGAAAGTCTTCCATACAAGAAGACTAAAGATAAGAGAAAAAAAAAATAAAAGATTGGAAAAGTTGATTCACTGATGATAGGAGATCTCAGCCAAATTGTTAAAACCTCATTAATCTTTTAATTTGTACTGTAATGCCTGCAGTGCCAGTGACTCTGACATTTTGGATACAAGGCTTTGAGCTAGTGGAACGAAGCCCTCCAGTGAAACCCCGCAGGAGCTGTGTTAACATCCCAAAACACAAGTCGAAACAAAACCCCAAGCAAATCCCGCTTAGCCTCCCTCTCTGAAAGAGCCAAGACACAGTTCTCAATTTTCAGTCTTCCCCTGGTCACTTTTATGCTCTGTTTAGCCTTCAGCCTGGCAGATAGACACATCATTATTTTGGCAAGCAATTTAATGAAGGGGGACTGCAGCCTTCATCCCTGTTTCATCCCATTTCCATTCAGGTTAAAACTCTGCTGGGATTCTTTTTCAAGCCTCTGAATTCTGAGAGCTAGAATAGATGGAGTGATGGGAATTATTTAAAGATGGACAAGGTCGAGCTACTTCCTATATCAAGACAGTATGGAGAATGGTGTTACACAAGGTTTTTAAAAAAAAATCAAACAAGAAGCAGACAAGAAAACTTTTTTTTTACCTGCTTTTCAGCTAGGACAACATAAAATATTCTAAAATTATTAAAGTTCTTGACAAAAGGTTTTTTTACAAAAATCTTTATGCTTTGAAACAATAAATTATTTCCTACTTTTTGAGACTTCGTAATATTAAAATACTTTGATTAGCTATGATAGAAGTAGAAGTTTGCAATGAAAAAAACCTTCTGTCTCATTAGTGTGTCATACTAAGTGCTAATTAATTTACATCTAATTATAGTCGATGTATTTTTCAAGTGCAATTTCCCAGAACTATTTGTTTCCCACTGTGTTAATAAACTAATAGTTAGAAATAAGTCCTCATCTGTGTTTACTGTAATTAAAAATAAAATCATTCCCTTTTAAACCAGGAGTTAGATGTAGGCTGTCTTTTAAACTCATGTACATTGAACTGAAAGGTGACAGTGTGAGGTTTGGTTTGCTCTTTGGTTTTGTCTTTTAATCATCATTTCCCAGTGAATGTGCTTAAAACCAACAACCCGATTCCATCCAAAGTCTGAGGCTTTGCTAAAGCACTGGTCAGACCTGCAGAGGCATATGAGGATGTCTGGAAAATACTTTTACATCCACAAAACTACTTACCAATGTTCTAGGCTGCTGCTGCGCCGGCTGATCGTGCAGCTCATTTTTGATCCTCTTCCCCTGGAATCAGTGCTGATTTCCCCAGCTCTCTGAGTGCAACATGTCACGATACAGACACATGGCCCTGCCTCAGTGTGAGCCAGAGTATCTGCTCATTCGTGAACAGGCACATTTGAAAAATGGAATTTAAGCAGGGAAATATGCTTCATGGTGCAACACACAGTCTGGACAGGGAACAAAGGCACTGGAAGATAACAGGGATCTGAACTTTGGTCTTTCTGTAAGAGAATGAGAGACTGTGATTTAAAGCTCCATAAGTCATAGTCTATGTCAAATTACAGTGCACTGTTTTGTTCAACCAAAGTAAAAAATGCTGTTTCATTTGTGATTTCCAATGAAAAAAAAAACTCCAAAAAAGAGTCTTTTTCCCGTGGAAAACTTTGATTCTCACAAAACTGAAAAATTTGCATTCTGGAGCATGAACAGTGTCTTCCTCTGTGGATAGTCTATCTGAAATAAATTAGATTATTCTTAGACTTTGAAACCACACAGTGATAGTTAAAAACAAAAATCATCTGTTCTTCCACATCTCTCTGTTTCTCCCTGGACAGCATCTAATACAAATTAGCCCCACTTTTTGAACAAGGCCTGCAGATATCATCATCATATCATTAACAGTAATCAGTCTTTTGATATTATCTTATAATATACCATAATTCTCTATAATAGCAGACCTAAAAAGAATTGCTATCAGATCAGGTTTGACTTTCTGAGAAACAAACTTTCAGGTATATTGTAAGCTCTCTGTTCCTGGTTTCTTATAAAGAACAGTAGTAAAATGAGAAATTAATTCAATTGCCCATATTTCTAAAAATAAACTGTTTTTATATTTTCTTTTCTTTCTTTATGTATCACATTTCCACAAGGGCTAATATACCATGTCCCTTGAGGTTACATTTCCGTCTGCAGTTCTAAAATGTTATTTCCACTGTGCTTCAGTTCTACCAGTATAATCACAAGTGTGTATAATGTACTTAATCATTAATTTTTAAATAAACCATTTTAAATGTATTCTTTTTTGTGTGTGTGTGGAAAAAAGTATACACATTTTTACTTCCAAATTCCCTGAGCTGAGATTTCTGTGTTTACATTTTTACCTATTTTGGCTGCAGCCTGGAACATTATCGGAAGCCAGGATATGAGAGAAAATATATTTCTGGGGTGGCCCACAGAGCAAGAAATCTCCAGGACAAACTGTCTTCACAGCATTTCCAGGCATTTGGGTAGGAAACCAATGGGAAAAAAGATCTAGTTTCGGAAAGCTTTTCCAACATAAACTCAGCCCACAAAGGCCAGGCTCATTTGCGACCATTTCACTGGCAAGCAGGGTGGCAGCTGCAATGACGTGCTAACATGCCCCAGACTTTCCAGAAATATTTGCTAGTAGAATGTGCCTCTGTTTTAGGTGACCAGTGTGAGACAGTCTGGGTCTTGTTTCCCAGGGCATTGCAAATCGCCATCAACAAAAATAAGTCAGTGTCTTTTGAAGCCTTAGCCCCAAGCCTGTGCTTTCCCTCCCTCTTGCAAGGTTCCATGTAAAGACTTCTTTTGAGCATCCTTCTCTCCCTGTTCCTCTCATTGCCTTCTGAAGAAGGCTGCCCTCCTCCACTCTTGCTGGGGAAGCTCTCTAAGTGTTGCTCTGATCACAGGTATAAAATCCCCAGCTGTACAAACAGCACTGAACACCAGCCAGGAGTTCAGCAGCCTCTCTTCATTCTCAAACATCCTGAACCATTCATTTATCAGAGACAATATTTCTTCAAATACTTCTTTTAACTGTACCTTCACACACCCTGAGCCTCTGGATTCTCTTTAAAGATGAAGAATGCATGTGTATCTATATCTGTCTCCCTCTCTCAGTACATATGATCAATTGGCATGTCTGGAGGGAGGCAGGGGATTAATCTTTTTAAAGGCCTCCACACCCAGTAGTCAAGCCATTTAAAGCTCCAGCCCAAAGCGTGTGTGCCTGGCCTTGAACTAAAATAAATAAAGGCTGTTCCCACATTGCTAAGCAAGGCTGTGGGTAAATAGCGATCCTTTAAGTTGTGGCTACCCTGCTGCGAACAGAAATAAATGAGATGTAGCAGAAAGGGAGCTTATTTGAGCTGAGATGGCGTCCTTATGCCTTTCTGCTTGGGAAGTGGAAAAGCTTCCAGCAAGGAGGATGAGGCATTTCCCTGGGAATAAGAAAACTAGTCAACATAGGAGGTGCTGAAAATAAAAGGGAATGAAGAGTGCTCTGCACCTGTCTACGAAACAGCTCAGCTTACAGCAGCAGCCCGTTTGCTTCACCGAAGAGAGCACTTACCAGAAAAGCATGCCATTTCCTTCTCCAGAGTTAAAGAGAGCACTTACCAGAAAAGCATGCCGAGAAAGGCTTCATGCAGATAAAACATTCACTCAGTGGTGGACAGAGCCAGTCCCAAAGAAGTTTTCCCGGTGCTGAGTTCAGAAGAGCTGCCGAGCCAGTGCTGAGAAAAGGCCTTGTTATGGCTAACGGGTTGTATCTCCCTACGGTTATCCACTGGAGGCTACGAAACACACGCTCACACGCTCCCACTTTTCTCTTGTCCTCAGTGAAGCAAAGATTGCAGCCCAAGAATTAGGGATCTTTTGGAGGGTGCTGTTTGCTGTGCCCTAGGGCATCAGTTACACAGAGCCAACCTGATAACAGGTTTAGATTCAAATTTTGCATTAAAAGCTCCCCCTCTACATGTGACCTTAAATAGTTTAAAAACACAGACATCTCACATAAAGAAAATACCATAAGTGTCCTGGATTCGGCAGACTGCAGGGGGCTTTCCTTGCATTTGCACTGCATTAGCTATTCTCTTTCACATCCCCACACATGCTCAGGATGAGTTTCCCTTGGTGCCAGCAAGGGAGACAACAGACATTTGAAGGCACAAGTCTAGCAACTTACTTGCTGCAGTATGTCAGCCTCGAGAAATGACTGCCCGTGCCAAAATGGATTATTCTCCACTTTAATGCATAAAAAATAATTACTTCAGAGGCCTGTGCAAATACGTAAAGCCAAAGAGACTGGCCCCTCACAAATTCCTGTAATCAGGGCTAGTTTCTACATACCTGATAATGGCCTTTTATGTAGTTCTGCAAGAATGGAACTGCGGAATTTGATTAATCTGGTTGTGGTAAATATTGGTTCTGTTCTGGAAGAAATACAGAAAAGTACAATTTGGGAGTAACAGACCCAAGCCAACGACTCTGCTAGGGACAAAAGAATGCAATAACTGCTCTTGAGACACCTCATTTAGTATTTTCTTCAGAAGAGAAACATAAGCACTTCTCACACTCACTGCTGCTAAAGTGCAACTAATTATAACCCCTCCTGCTTCTCAACAGGTCCTCATTAATACTCTGTTTATATTTCATGTGATATTGATTTTTAAATGCAGCTCTTTGCCAGCTGAAGCAGGGAGCCTGCTGGAAACGTTCAGCAGAGGTTTATACACTGCATTCTTCCAGATCTGCAGGCAGTTTGGGTTTTCCTTCAGTTGTCTGCTCCCCTGGAGGTCAGCTTTACTTCTGCATGTCTTAGGTACTCAGCAAGCCACAGACAGGGCAGTAGCGACTACCAGGCCACCGAGGGAGGCCAGTTTAACCTGCAAGATAGGATACAAATTCCCTGTAGATTTGGGAAGGAACAACACAAGCCCTTAAGAGCCCACATAGCACATTCCCAAGCCAAACAGCATGACTGAATCCCCGCCAGCAGTTCCCAAATACCCTGAAGCTCTGCCACAAAGAGCAGGAAGCAGCACAGGGTAGTGCAGATACGTCTGCTCTTCTAACAGAGCCACCAAGCTTGCATGGAACAACATGCCCATGTTTTCTCTCCCAGGGACCACCGGCTCCAGGCCATGTTTTTAGGACAGGCACAATGACTCACCTTAGATTAGGTGAATTTTCAGCTGCAGGGAAGCCTCTGCATCATTCACTGATGTTCACTGAAGCTTTAACTTGCTCACACTCTTGGGGTCTCTCTGCCTCTCCTCCCTCAGAGGATGAATTTTCCCTTTATCTTTTGTCTTTAGTTGTTCCATGGTTATTACTACGAAGAACAAAGCAAAACCCAGAGGAACTTATCCAGGCCGTAGTACCTGAATAAGATGATGTGATCCTTTGCCAACACTGGAGGAGACACAAAACCCAGCAGCAACAAAGAAAAAGGAAATCGTAAGTTCCACCCCTACAGTCCTTATAGGCTGTAATTAGCCTAAAGCACGATCATTAGCAGTTGCTTTCTCAGCAACCAAAAGCTTGCTTTGTGCCCGTGCTTGCAAACGTGCCTGAACTTTCCCAGGCTCAACTTGCTGAGCTCCACAGGAGCTGTGGAGTTTCTAGTGTCAGGGAAGTGAAGTCAAGATGCAACTCAAAATTGACCGATGTCTAGTAAAATATAAAAAAGACTACTTCAAAAGAGAAGGCATTACATTTTTAATGCATTCTTTTTCTGTTTTAAAGTCTGTTCGCTTCGGGCCTTTCTGCTTCCTTGAGAACTCTTGGCTCTGGTTAAGAAAACAGGTACAAGTCTCTATGTGCGACACTATCCCATTTTTATGCCTCAAAAGACAGCTTCAGCTGTTTGAAACGAAACTCCTTCTGACACAGGACAACCTACTGTAGACGTATAGCCATCCCTAGGATGGCCTTCCTTGGCCTATGGCAGTTGACCACCTCGTTACCCTTGTTCTGGGGACAGCCGCCACTACCAGAGTGCCAGCGTCTTCTCATCATTTTCACATACGTGGTGCCTTTAATCCCTAGAGCCACAAATCCTTTACAAACACTATCCCATCACTCTTGTGAGGTGAGGAAATTTCATCCTCCCAAAAGGACAAAGCCCAGATTCTCAAAGGGATTTGGGGTCGTGCCTCTAATCCTTGTTCATTAACTAGCATTGTTCAATGGCAATGATAAATGACGTGCCTAAATACCTCTGAGAAACTGAGACTGAGTACTCAGGGCTAGACTGTTTCTGCATAACTGCAGTGCCTAATCCCCAGGAATTGCTGCCCAAATGCCTGGGAGAAGGAAGTGTACACGGCAAAGTCAGCAGTAGCCAGGGCCCAGGGCATCTGTGAATGAGCACAGAAGAGCCCCAAGTCCCTCATCTATGGTTGGACTCAATGATCTTGAAGGTCTTTTCCAACCCTAATGATTCTATGCTCTGTTCAGTAACATCTAAGCATAGTTGATGTAGACCCATGTCTTCAAGGGTGCATGCTGCTCTGCTCTTTGGTGCCTGACTGATCCAAAGTCTTTCAGCTGGCTCAAGAGGTCTCTGCTTTGTTGGACAGATCCTAGCTCATGTCTTCTTCCCTTGACAAAAAGGGCGGAATGGGCTTTGCCTCTTGGCCAGGTCCTCCTGAGGGCACCTTTTAGCAGTCCAGCCCCACATCTTGTCTGTAGGCAGCCATTTGTTTAGGACTGTCGTGCTCTCAGCCCGAGCGAGCCCCACTGTGCTCTGCCAGGGGCTGAGTGAGGGCTTGCGGCCAACCTGTGCTGGCTATTTCCATGCTCACGGGTCTGGTTTCCTCATAGACTTTTTAGATATTTGGGATTCCTGAAGTCAAGAGTCTTCTGAAGTGTGTAGCTGCCACATGACTCATTTGTTCTTGGGACCTCTTTCAGCTGCTTCAATTTGATCCTCTTTTATACTTGATATTCAAGGTGGGGTTTCCAGCCTTTACCCAAGAGGGTCTCTAGAAAGATTTCCAAAAGGCAGGCTCCAGCAGGGGACAACTCTTTGGGGACAAGGTCATGGGCTTAAGTTCAGGCTATTTGAGACATGGCAGTTGCAGTTATGTTGGATCATTAGTTTCCTAAATCACTTTACCCATCGCTCAGCCTCCCCTTCCGCCCTCGTCTCATTGCTTCAAACTGTCCGCCTTAATTCGAGCCGACACCTCTGCACTTTTACCTTGACGTTGAGCCGGGGCATTCAAAAAGAGCTGCGATTACCTTGACACAACAACACGATATTTGCAGATTTCCGCTGACATTTTTCCAAGCCATCATCTTGACGCTCGTGTGCTGCCGCTGCCACTGTTTTGACATCGGCAGTGTAACGTCGCCTCCGCCCTGGCCTCAGCACTGGCACTGTCAGGAAATTATTTTATTATTTATTACTGGGGGATACCAAAGGCAAGGAGCGAGGCTGGGACACGCCACCTCGGCCCTGCACGCTGTGGTCGTTCCACTGCCATCTTGGCGCGGGGCAGCAACTAGGCCCGGTTTCCTCTCCTCCTGGCCAGAGAAACATCCTGCCACCCTTCCTCTCCTTGTATTTTGTGTGAAACACCAAATCCAAAGAAAAAAATTGCTCCCAAAGCTGTCAGCATGAGGCAGCAGGAGCTGCCAAAGGTGAGCAGAGTCTGCACCTCCCTACCTCCTGGATGTCCGTGGTGGATAGGAGCCATCCCAAGGAACCAGCCCTCCGTGACCGGAGAATGCTCTCAGTTCACAAAATGAGGAGAGTATTTTGGGTAGGTTTAGTTAGGAAATGCGTTGATGAACAAGAAGCTTCAGAGCTGAGGCAGCTTTGGAAAAAGCGGAATGAGCCGTGAAATCAAATCGGCTTCGGTCAGTAGCTCCCACTGTAAAATAAAAAAGGGGTTGAAATGCCAAATGATTTTGTTTCAATGTTCTCAAAGTGCAAAATGATTTGCTTAAACTGATGAAATACATACTTCTCACAGTTTATATGTTGAACTTTAGACACCTTGCAAGATGCTTCTCCAACCAAAACACTTTCCTTCAGCCTGAACAAAACATTTAGCTTGACTCAGAAATAAGTATTTTCTTTAAAAAGAAGCAATTCTTTTTTTCTCTTTGCTTCAGCCACAGCGAGTTTGTTTTTGACACTTTCGCTGCAGCCGGGTGGGTGATAGAGCCACGTCCTGCTCTCAACTTCTCCTGGCAAACAGCGACTTGACCCAAGGTCTGCGCATGCACCTTTGGGGTGATTTTTCAGCTTTTCAGCTGCTTTCCACCCAGCCGAGCTCAGGCCCAGCATTATTACCAGCCCAGCTGTTTTTCCTAGCCTAGCCAAGAAGCTAAATCCTCCTCTTCACGCCTATTTCAGCGCAGGTTGCCAGGGAGGGACGCGGCAGCCGTCGCGCCGACTCGCGCGCTCCCAAGGCGATGGCCAGGGAAAGCAGAGGCCGGTGGCAGGAGATGAGCCCGGCGGCGCGGCATGGACGAGAGCAAACCCCTCAAGATCCGGCTGACTTTCTCTGTCATCCTGGTCGGTGTCTCGCTGCTCTTCGCCGCCGTGGTGAGCGACCACTGGGCCGTGCTGAGCCCCAAGGTGGAGGTGTACAATGCCACGTGCGAAGCGGCGCACTTCGGCCTCTGGCGCCTCTGCACCAAGCGGATTTACGTGCAGGAGCCAAGCGCCCACGAGAAGGGCTGCGGGCCGATCAGCTTGCCAGGAGGTAGGTGATGGTGCTCACCCTGTCCGCGCGTGCCAACCCATGGGGCACTTCGATCGGCCAGCATTGAGGAGGCAACCGGACACGGCAGAAAAAAGCCACGGTGTCTTTCCCCTTGGCTCTCAACCTGTCATGGCGCTGCATGCTGCTTTGCTTCCGCGTCGCCTCGCCTTCAGTTCTTTACTTGTTCACGTGTGCTTGCAGATGTATTTTTAACCATGTTTAAGTCAGTGGCCCCTGCGCAGCCACGAGAGGGGCGGGAATGCAGGGAGAAGGACTGGACATGGTGGAAATCACGGGCTGCATGGAGGGTGTCCTGCTGACACCTGCGCAGGGTCCTGAGGCAGCTGGGCAAACCCACAGCAGCTTCAACCAGTGTCAGCAGAGGGAGGATTTGCAGGACCAGGCCACCCCGTGTGGCTGCACCTCCAGGAGGATTCCCTGCTCCAGATAGCAGTGAGGGAACAGCTTTTTTGTGACAGTGATTAAGTTATCCAAGGCTATTTCACCAGCAGTCATAGCTTGGAGCTCAGAGCAGGGCCGTGATTTAGCAGCTTACCCCAAAAAGGCTGGAAACGGAGTTAGGAGTGATTTGTCGCTGCTTCCCTGCGTCTCCTTACCTCGCGGTGAAGGAGAGCCCTGGGCTGGCAGCGGAAAGCCACCTAATCGGATACATTTCTTCACAGCAACTTATTGCATCAAAATCAATAGGCAGGGTGGCAGAGGAGTGATCAGAGCTGGTTTCCAGGAAGACCGTTACATTCCCGTGGCAAAAGGAGCTCATTATATATTTGCTGATTGCAAAGTCAGCAACATTCATGCAGCGAGTACTAATATACTCTAGCCGTGACTGAACTACGCGGCTTTTTGAGAAGGCTAATAGGGAACTGGCTTCTTTCCAGAACAGAAATAACAGGATTGCCTTCATGTTGGGATCGCTATTTGAAATGAAATATATATGTTAACACATATTTGAAAAGTTCTTGTGCAAACCTCACTGCCTAAGCTTCCTGCATATGCTTTGCAGCACTGCAATCCTTTATCTATCTGGCAAAATTATTTATTCTGAGGCAAGAAGCTAGTTCACAGTGCTCAGATCTGCCTCTAGTCAAATTTGGGAGTGTGTGATCTGGTAGCGTAATGTCTCTCATGTAGGCACTTACAGATTCCTCACTCTATGCCTTTCTTTGCACATGGAGGAAAACTCACATAAAAGGAAAATAATAGAAATTGGCTGATAAACACCCAAATTGCACCAACTGCAGGATAAATATAAAACTCATAAATATCCATCTGTCTCCAGAAAGCAGATTTGCAGGCAGGGCAGCGCGGCAGTGGCTACTATCTTTGACAGACATCGGCATGTGCTTGTGCAGACATTGAATCACGGCCCCGCGCCACCTGACCAGCGGGCACAGCAAACGAACGGGGAATTGTGGCCATAGCGAGCCAGGCCCTCCACCGTCAGCCCAGCCACATCAGGGGCAGCCTGACAGACTGGTTTTTGTGGTATCGGAAGATATTTTTGTATTTGGACAAAGTCATATGTCAAAATGAGCTCATGAGGTTTCAAACATCCTATGTCTTATGATTTATGTTCTCACCTCTGTTTAAGAATTAAGTGCCTCATTTTGCTCACGCAGAAGACACAGCATGGTGAGGTGAACAAGTCCCCAGGCACCGCGGGCTTCACAGGTCTCTCATTAGACAGATTCCTCACTTTCTGGAAAATATCAGCAGGGAAAAGTAGTTGTGAAACCTGCATTAGTCAAGAAAACCCGAAAGAACAGATGTGGAGTAAAAGAGCATAGGTGGGCATCAGGTTTCCTGAAAATGATGAGACAATCAGACATTACTGCCATCACTGGAAAAGAAACATAAGAATTTATCACTACATTAATAACCATTTACTACTCACTCTTCAGAGGAAATGGATGGCGCTATTAATATTATTTATTAGTTTTTGAGCTTAGCACTGTGTGAAATGTGGAAGATGACTTGGCTCATAGTCTACAAAGCAGGCCTGTGATTTAGGCAAAGAGGTTTAAAATTTAACAACACTCTTCAGAGGCTGTTGACAAATTGGAAAAGGATTTGGCATGCTGCTGTGAGGAATAAAAATATCAGGGAGGTGACATTAAAACTGGGCAAATTCAGATTAATGTAGAGACATTTTTAACTGTGATCAATGGATCATTGGAGTCATTTACTAGAGGGTGGCACAGAGCCCTTCATCACTGCCAATCTTTAACTCCAATGTAGGTGTCCTCCTGCAAAGTGTGCTCTGGTGCACCTGCAAGTTGGGTAGCACAGGTGATGCTCTATCGCCTGTGTCTGCCACAGGCAGCTAAAATTGTTCCTGTTAAATAGGTGAATCTGAATTTAGGCCACTTGAGTTGGACTGGGAAGAATGAGAGTACATGGTGTAATCAGCAGGGTGTCTCATTCCCATCCATACAAGAGACTCACCCTGCCAGACTACTGTGAAGTTGAATTATTCAGACCTACCATCTCTGTGCGTTTCAAAGCCCTTTCTCTGGCTTCCCCTGGCCAGGTGGAAAAGCAAAGCCTAGCCCCTCTGCCACTTGAACCTTCAAAGCCTCCTCTAAATGTGGCAGCAAGCCCTGTGCCCCAAGTGACAAGTCAAATCAAAAGCATTCCTCATCCAGCTCTTTCTGACCATCCAGCATGCCACAGGAATGCTCACAACCTTCTCAGGGTCAAGAGCCTTATTCCAGCCCCTACCCCATGCTGATATGTGATGGCTGACACCCCTTAGAACTTACACGCCCCAAACATCTGCTTCCCTAACCTTCCTTCTTCCTGGAGGACTCCACATCATAGCACCCACAGACTCAACCTTACCTCTTAGCTCTTGTGTTATTGCTTCATCTTGTGGCTGCTGTAGCTGCCCCAGGCTCCCTGTGGGACTGGATCTGTGAAAATAAAGGAAAGATCAACTAGTCCGTTTCCCTGTTCATAGAAGTCATCTAGGAATCATGGACTTGAAGGGAATGGGTTAGGAATGCTCTAAGTGAAGCTAACCAGGAATGGGGAGGAGAGGGTCTGATGAACGACGCTTGTCCTTTGAGTTCAAACTCACCTTCAGGGCTCCAGAGCCCCTGGACTGGGCCTCAGCCACCACCAGATTATTGCCAGAGCTCTGCAGCTGCGGAAGCCCTGCTTACTCAGGGGTGTGCTGCTCTCCTGGGCTCATCATTTGCAGTTTTCCTTGCAGGTGTTTGCGTTCAGACGTGTTTGTCCTAGTCATTTGCAGAGATAATAAAGAACTGGTCAGGAGATGCCAGAACTGAGGAGTCATTCACCTAGTTGCCTGGGAATGCAACATGAGTCAGCTGATAAAAACGTCTCAGAGGAATCTTCCACTAATGGGCCCCAAAATGCTGCTTTAGAATCATCCATGTCTCTGGAGAGATAAGATAAATCTTCTTGAATAACTAACTCTAAAATCTACCATTTATGTGCCAGGAGAAAGAAAAGAACCCAACTGCTTGCCGCTAGACATTAAATCTGTAAATAGACAGTATTTTCATAGGAGGAAGCATTTCCACAGAGGTTCCTTTGCTCATTAATGGCCAGGCAGGGGACCCTACACAGCCCCTGGACATCTGCTCATGTCCCCACCATGGAATCAGTGGGACGTTCTTGCACTGGAGCAGCACATGCCAGCCTGGACACTGCAGGCTGCAAAACGGAGCACAGTCGGTCCCCTCGACTTACTCCTAGGAATTCCTGAAAGTTCCCTAACTCCGTTATTTAACGGACAAAGACGCAGCCTTCCCCGTCCCCGCGAGCCGGAGCGCGGGGTGCGGAGCGGGTGCGGGACGGGCCCTCCCAAGCAGCTCAGCAGGGCGCTGCAGGATTGCTCAGCTCCAGCCAAACGCCTGGCAAGCAATTGCTCCCACAGCTCCACACCTCTCCAGACCTGGAGAACCGTCTTTCCTCTAATTTCCAACCTCAAGACATTTCTGATCAGTTTGCAACTGTTTGTTCTTGTACCCCTAACTTAGGGGTAACTTAGCAATTCTCCTGCCTACTCTTTATTTCCACCGGCAACCCCACTGTATTTTTGACACCAACCCCATGCCCTCGCTTTTTCACTTCCACTCTGCAGAGTAAAACCCCACCATGCCCGAGCCGTGCCTCCGAGAGCCCCAGCGAGAAGCTTCCTCTGCTCGTTAGTCCCCTGCCCACAGTCGTGATCCTTCCTCACCGCACAAGCCCTCCGCAAACACCCTGCTGGCTGGCAGCAGCCTCACACACTCCAGATAGAGGAACTCCATTAAGCTCCCACTATCTGACTCTACTGTCTTATCAAATTAATTTAATAGACTGGCCTGATGGCAGCTAACTTTGCTGAGGTCAGGTTGCACGATATTCTATTTGCCCTTGACTTGGATGGCTTTAATTACCCTTTCCTTCCTTCTAACAGTGTTTTCTTTGCAGCTTTTGATGGCTAGTGCCAGGCCCCCAACAGGCAGAAAAAAGCTGGATCCTCCCTATCCCAGTGAAATGTCACGGGCTTCGTGGCATCGCTGCGGGCTCTCCGCGCGGCGACCTGCATCACGGGGTCCCACGCACCAAACTTTTCCAGGCTGCTTCTTCCCTCGCAGTCACTGCCGTGGTGAGGGATAGGAGCTGGAGAAGGCAGGATCAGCAGGGGACAGGACACTCGATCCTCCCTTTTTGGAGGCCGGGCTTGCCGCAGCCGAGCCTCGTGCGGCCCCGCGGGTCCATACGGGGTGATGCTCACACGGAGCAGTTGGCAGAGGCAGCTGCAGAAGGGAGCAAACTGAGATGCTAACTCAGCTGTGGGCACGCGGAGTGTCATTACCAGGAAACGCAGCCGTGGAGTAACGGCCAAGGCAGAATGAGAAAAATTATCTGTAATTCAGGCCTGAAATAGAAGCGCAATCAGTGCGCGAAGCTCTCGGCGGGAGCAGCCTCCAGAAGGTAGCAGAGGTGGCTCCAACCTTGCCTGTGCCACCAAATCCTGCCCTGCAAACGCCATCAAAACCCGCAGATCCAGCTCACATTTCTCAGTGTCACCGTCCCCGCAGCTGGCTAGGGTACAGCTAAGCCAATGGGACTGACATGATACATCCCCATATTTTTGTCCCCTGTTTGTTTCCTATTTTGCGGGAAAGGCTCTCCAAGAGGAGCTCTTGGGAAGCACATCTTCCCAGTCTGTAAATGCATCCCATGAGCTATTTGGATAGATCCTAAATCCTGAATGTAGATCCCTCATTGCCACCTTTATTCTGGAAAGAAGTTTGCTGGATGTCTGCAGTGGAACCAAGATGCCCTTATCCTGTACATTAGGAGTGTTTGAAGCCCAACATTTCAATAAAAGAGCAAAGTTAAATCTACTGCACAAAGTTACTGACAAAATTAAATGCCCTTTTGTTCTGCAGAAAGCAACTGCTCCTACTTTAAGCACTTCACTCCGGGAGAGAGCTCAGAGATATTTGAAGTAACCACACAGAAAGGTAAGGATGGAGCCTGAAACATTTCTTAACACTGCATGAACTGGGTGCACAGAATATCTAATGTAAATGGGTCTACAGTCCCCAGAATAAGGGTTCGATCCCAGTTCCACTGAAATCAATGAAGGAATTTCAACTAGTTACAAATGTCAGCTGGGCTTTGAAGGAGGTCAAATACAAGGCCAAATATTCTTCCTGGGAAGAATAATATATATGAGTTTCCTCCACGCTTAAATGGGACCTCATTCAAAGTTGTCTCTCAAATGTTGAACAATATCAGTACACATCAAAAACGACAAAATCTTTTCATCACAAAAAAATGACATTTACAATATTGGTGCTATCTCCTACACTCTAAACCTTTGGCATTGAAGGAAGAGGACATTGATAACATCTAAATAAATAAATCATACCCCGAGCAGAGTCTTGACCCTGAAACAAAGTACAGAGGCTCTATGAAGACCATTAGGAATGTTATGCTTGATATTGATTTTTTTTTTAAGAAATTCACATAAAAACCAGAGCAATCAGTGGCAGGAAGGAAGGGTTATTCTGTAAAGACACAGTGTTTACCCAGCATGGATCTTGAAAATTGTCTTTTACAGAAAAATTACTCATTTCTAATCAGTCCCTGCTAAAGCCAAATATTTCTTAGCACTAATGTAACACGCTTTTCTCTCTTTCTTGGCCTCTCATTGAGGACAAATTTCTTCATAGTTTGCCACACAACATATTTTAGTGGAGTAAATGAATTGACGATTACATTACACATATTAATCTGCTTGGCTTCCAGTGGAAATAAAACCGATGGAAAACCTTGCAGCACAGGTCTTCTAAAGAAGCAATTTCCCAAGGCAGGAAAGGTTGTGAATTTTAAATGGATAAAAGAGCATATATCCAAGCTACTTGCTTTTGTTTATTTATATACCGTTAGATCTATCCATCTGATATTAAAATTGTATCCAGTGATTTGTTGGTCATGTCAGAAGAAATTTGAAAATAGCTTCTTTTCTCTGAAGCAAAAGAAAAAGCCAAGGCCATAGCAAAAGGTTTCTATATTGAAACTAACTCTTTCAGGCAGTTCTAACACATAGGAAAGAAAACCAAAGAGAAAAATATTAAGAAAATTCCAATAAAATAGTGGTAGCAAAGTAAAGAGAACAAAGAGTAATATGCTTTCACAGAAATAACTCCATATTGATGGGGGCTAATTAGTATCACGCAAAAAGTTCCTTCATGGTTTTGCCTAGCAGATATATTTTTTAATGGTTTGAAAGGCAAATATCATCAGGCACTGTGATGTTCATGCATGGCTACATGTATTTAATATTAAACTAATCTGAAAACAAAGGCAATATGTAAAGGAAGGTCTGAATTATTCAGTTAGCAATCTTTTCCCACCATTCAGACAGTGAGCTGTGTTTCACTGAGTGAATTGCTTAGTGCACATCCTGGCAAGCTTATCAAAAAGAGAGGGCATTTTAGGAAAGGTTTAATCCTCTGCCCTTGAGAAGCTGAGTTTTCTCAGAACTGGAAATTATTGTTCCGAAAAAAAAAAAAGGCTACGCAAACACTTCACCTCTGGTCTCCTACTTGGTCTGGGTTTGGTGGCTCTGCGTTGGAGCCCAACGGCGCTTCCAACTGTCTTTCTGTATTGGTACAACATTGGCACCACACTAGGGCCTCGCATGGCTCCTATAACGCAGATGTAGAACAAAAACAGCCCAGAGCAGCCCATTTACTCTGCGAAAGTAGAGGAAGGGCGCGCGCAGCAACCCCAGCAGTAACATCAGCGCAGCAGGGCTGGCGGGGCTGCAGCCCAGAGCTGCAGCAGGCCAACGCGGGCACCACTTGCTCCTTCAGCCCTGCCTGGAAAAACATCCCTCCCTCTGCTTTCACATCCTTTAGATTCAAAAGACACATGGCCAATATTTGCAACTGCTTTTATCTCAGATAAATAATGCCTTCAAATTAAATAACTCCTGTAGAACCCTACAGCAGTGATAAGATACCTAGTTCAAAGAAGATACCTAGTTCTGACTGACCTTGTGCAACAGCTGATGTTGGAAATGTGCAGCCATTTACTCTTTTTGTGGTCTTTGTTTTGGCAGAATACAGCATTTCAGCTGCAGCCATTGCCATCTTCAGTGTTGGCTTTGCAATCATCGGAACAATCTGCATCCTTTTCTCCTTCAGGAAAAAGAGTGACTATCTGCTGAAGCCAGCTTCCATGTTCTACACCTTTGCAGGTAGGAGAAGCTTGGTGCTGAAATACTTGCCCTTGGTTCATAGAAAAATGCAGAGAACCAAGCTTGCAGTTTTCCTAGAAGGTCCCAGTCAACTTACATGGCCTCAGTTATTGTAGAGAGAGAGCAGTTGTTCTTGTTGGTTCTTCAAATATTAATGCCAATGACTCACCTGTGAAGCTCACTGCAGTTTTGCTATGCAAAAAGGCAGATAAGGTGGTTAATTAAGGATGAAGAATTGACAGCTGCTTGTTCAACCCACTGCTCTCATCTTCCTTCAGGTCTCTGCATCATCATCTCTGTTGAAGTCATGAGGCAATCTGTGAAAAGGATGATTGACAGTGAGGAGACCGTCTGGATTGAGTACAGTTACTCCTGGTCTTTTGCCTGTGCCTGTGCCTCCTTCATCCTGCTCTTCATCTGTGGAATTATTCTCCTCCTGATTGCCTTGCCTCGCTTCCCCCAGAACCCCTGGGAGACCTGTATGGATGCAGAACCAGAGCACTAATGCTCCCATCACCCAGCCTTGCTTAAAAAGCCAGAAAGCGTTCGGAAAAAATACGTATTTTTTAAAATGTCTGGATACCATTGTACCATGTGCCCTGCCACTCCATTAACTAAGTCATTACTGAACCAATTCAATTACAAATATTACTTTCTTTCAATTTTTCTAAGAAAGGAGAAAAAGCTTTAACAACAACAGTGTGATCACGAGCAAATGCCACTCTGCTCTGCTGCACTTTGTACTTCCACCCTGCTGGAAGCGGAGGGAGGGGATCTGCAGTTGTGCCGATGCGAGCACATGTATCCTTAGGGATGCACAGCATCCTTAGGGAGAAAGTATGGAGTGGAGTCAGGCTGCAGAGCAGATGGGAGGGGGACATCGGGTTTATTCCTGGCTTGGTCAGAGAGAGCCAGTGAGAAACTCTAGCTCCTTGGCGAGTCCATGTCCCCATTTGTACCACGCTCCTGTACGAGCCTGGGATAAGCTGGAGATCCTTGCACTCATCTGTTGTTCACAGTGTTGAAACAAAAATGGACTTTGCCTAGATTTGGGACCAAATTGGCCTACAAATTCCCACCTTGGAGTTCTACCCTTTTGAATTAAGGACAAAAAAAAAAGCTTCATTTCCATTTCCATTCTGCTTATACTTTGGTGGCAAAGCCAAGAAGCACTGAACACTAATTATATTTTCTTTTAATAAAAAGCATAATCCTCCAGTAGTACGATTTTCTGCAAGGTGATTTTGATGGATGAATCACAGGGCCCATCAAATTCCGCTGGATCCCGGATTACGATGTAATTCCAGATGCTGTTTACGGCACACAGCTCCCGTTTGTTCCCTGTGAACGAACTCCTTACCCAGGAGAGCGCCGTGCTCAGGAGCCCACGCGGCAGCAGCAGGGGAACCTCTACACTCCCCATTTTAACCTAAGGCAAAACATAGGAGGGGGAGAAAAACAAAAAGGCAGCTCAGGAAATACCCAGGCATTCGTTTTGCTCACAGTATCAGCAATTGTTTTCTCAGTGGTTCCTGTCACCAAAGAGAAAGCCACGAGCTGCCATGGAAGGAAGGTGTTGGATGGAAGGGTTTTTCATTCCAACTTGTTTTGTTTGTTTATAGTTCGATTTTTAGAACTCCTCCAGCATTTTTGCAATTTATTTCCAAGGAGGAAAACGCCCTTCTTTTATGTCTGAGTAATTTAAAAAAAAGGGGAGAACAGGAAACAGAAGTGTTCCTTCCTTCATGGACTAACACCAAGCATTTGTGTTTTTAAAGCCAAAAGAAGACAGAATTCATAGCAGAAAAATTCATATCGTTTGGAAGAAATGTGAAATTGTGACATATTCACACATCTAAAGCAATTCGGGAGCGTTTCTTGCTCGTGATCACAGCATGCAGAACTAAGGGCTGTGCGAGGCCCTGCCGGGGCCGGACGGAGCATGGGGGCAGCTCTCACTGCGAGACCACCAGCTCCTCAGGCACGCGGCTCAGTTTTCCCATCAGTGAAGTGCTAGCGAGAACACAGAGCTTTTATGCTGCTGCACTGAAATTTTTCTAGCTCTTTAAAGTCAAAATACACTACAGATAACGTGTGCATTATGAAGTTTGGAGATAAAGCCTTCACTGGGGCTCAGATCTGAGCATAAACCGGGGAGTTCTGCATGCGTCCCTCATAATGAGAGACAATGGGAAGTCTTCGTGTTGTCACCGAGCCATTGTGAAATGCTAAATGGTTTTGAAATCTTATTTTTGGATACAGAGCTGACGTTCCCAATTTGCATTTGCATTGTGCGAGGAAAAGAGGTTGGTTTGCAGAGAGCAACCCCAGCTCGGCCTTCCCCAGAGAACGACCCTACCTTAGAGGCGCAAAGGGCAACGTGACGTGGCCTTGGATCGGGGCTGCACCACGGTGTCCCGGAGAGGCAGGATTCCTCCTGGTGGCATGGATGGAACATGGCTCCGGGGGCTCCGGCTTCCAGCACTGCTGGGATGCCCCATGTCCCCAGGAAAGCCATTTGCACACACACTTTTTCCATGCACCAGCCTGCTTCTTGCAATGCTTCTTCAGCAGAAAAAAAAACAATAATTTCTAGGTTGTTTCTTATCCTGACAGGCCAGCTCGCTGCCCAGCCAAGAACCTGTTTGTTCCCGTTAGTGACGAGGCCAATTATGTCTGATATTCATTAGCAAGAAGAACATATTTCAGCTAAGCAGGCAGGGAAGGCCTCGCTTTACCAGCACACATCCCCCTGCTTGCGCCAGGGCTCAGACAGCTCCTCCCAGCCCTGGCACCCCTGAGTAATGGGCTTGGGGCTGGAGCCAGGGCTTTATGGCTTCTTGGCGCTCATGTTCGTTGGGTGGAAGGGAGAAAACACCTGCTCGGAGCAAGGGCCTCGGTCCCACTGCCGTGACACGGGTGGCTGGGCCTGCAGGGGAGAGGCCGCCCGGGCGCGCGTGGGGCCTCCCCCGCCGCCATGAGCACGCGCTGCCGAGGCCCTCAACGCGGCCGCCGGTGTTCGGGTGGCAGAGCTACCCGCAGCGCCTGCCAGGGAGCCGATAACGGGTTTCAAGGAAGCTAATAAAAGGAACTGGCTTTTATACGAGGGAAGGAAGAACAGAGGGTGCGACCAGGCTGAGATTTCCATTCAAATGGCAGGGGACGGTCACTGATGACCGGGTCAGTACCTGCCTGCCACGCTGAAAGCCGAGCACCAAGTGGCAGGAGGAGATGTTCAATCTTCCTGTTGCATAAGGCTGAGGTCGGCTCTCAAGCACAGAGCGAGGTTGCTCCCTTTATTTTTAAATGGCTGTGTTTGTGTGAACTTAATGTGCAGAAAGGTGCCAGACGAGCAGCCCTGAGGAACACAAGTGCCTGTTGAGCGCGCGGAGGCCTCCTGAGCGCAGCGATGCCACGGCCGGCAGCAGCTCTCCGCTCCGCTCGGCTGCGGCAACTAAGCAGGGCCCCTCGGCCACGTGGGTCTGGACCCCAACCCCTGCTGCCCCTCAGACCCTCCTCCCCACGATGCTCTGGCCTCGATCCCAGCCAGTGACACCATGAGGAGGGAGGCAGCTTACCAGCGTACTTACTCACTCACTCCTTCCTTCCTTTTTTCACCAATTCCTCTCCACTTCCTCGTGCGGGCTCCGTAGCTCTTCAGCACAGCCTCCCGCAAGGGCTGAGCCCTGGGGAGAGCCAGCGGCTTCCCAGGCCTCCGAGAGCGACAGAGAAACCTCAGGCCTGGCCTTGCAGCCAGAATTAACGTGCCAGGGACTTGAGCAGGGGCAGAAATTGTTTATAAAACAAACCTCATTTGAAACCTCCTGTTAAACTTCATGTAAATTTGAGCCTTTGGTAGTGGGCCAGTACCACTTAGAATATATATATATATATATATACACAATATATGTACAATATATCTATATATAAACCATGAGCCCATATAAACTGCATAGACCATGAGGCTGCACTGTACCACGAGCTGCCCTCCCCACACCCAAGCCCCCACGCGAATGCACTCAAGTTATTGGCACCTTCCCTTATCACCCAGGCACAGCAAAGGAGCCGGGCGGTCCCCGCTGGATGGAGGTCTGGGACGGGCTTGCTCGTGGCTCGTGGCAGCGGCCGCCCGACCGCGCTGCAGCCTCGGAATCTCAACGGGAGCCCCGCAGTGGCGCAGAGCGCCGGCACGAGGGACAGAGCGAGCCGTTCTTCCGCCTTCTGCAAGGAAATGCTGAGAAAGGCACAAACGCTGATTTCTGGCCTACTTTCGTGTTAATGAATTTGAGCAAAAGGCCCTGGTTCAGAGCAGGGCTCAAGTTTCAGCGACCATTTTCCTTTCCCCTTTGGGTAGGGCAGGTTGGATCCCAGGGTGCTGCTTTGTGCCACTGTCACCAACAGCCCTGAGAAGACAGGGATGACTTTGCAGCAGGTCCCTTGTGAAGGCGCCTGCCCTTCAGGAGAGAGAAAATCCCATGAAAAATGGACTGCCATCTTCTAACCAGTTTCAGGATAACTCAGATCTCTGGGCGCTCTCAATAGTTTATCAGAAGAATACATTAAACCCTAACTAAGTAGAAGAACTTATCAACATTTCTCAGCTGAAGCTGTTACAAGCACCAAATCCAGCTGTTTTTTCCATTGCATTTACTTTTCCAGAAAAAAATAATTGAGAGATTCAGTCCTCACTCCCTGGCACAGCTAACAAAAAATACTGGAGAAAATATCCTCCACCAAGAGAAACAGCCCATATTTCATGTCAAGGAAAACAACGGGCAAATTTTTAGAGGCCCAACAGATCATCACCATTGGGTCTGACAAGCTAACTGGTGGTCGCTTTCTAGGAAAAACAGAAAATTTAAAGCTAACACCACAAATGAAATGAGCTGAACGATGATACGGGCAGCACATAAAGCATCAGGGCCTCGGTGCTTTGGAAACATTCAGATTCTGTTACATCTGGGTTTACTCTAAAAAGAGCATTTCCAGCCAAACACACGTGGAGGTTTCGGTCGTGCTTACCGTGGTGATGTTACGTGCACAGCGAAGGCGCCGCTCGCAGCACCGGTCTCTGCGTAAAACACAGACCTCGCGCGGGCTGGGAAGGAAACGTTAATTCATGGAAGCGTCGAGCAGCCCCGGGGCGGTGCCGGGGCAGGCGTGCGGGAGCGCTCCGGAGGGTTGGCAATGCCGCAGGCCGGCTAACTAAACCAAGCGGCACAATATATCCTAATGTCAACTTTGCCAAGAAAATACGCACGGAAGGGTTTGGATTCCCACTCAGCCTGCTGCGGTGTTCATTGTTGGTGGGCTGCAAACACCTAAGAATAGGGGCGCTGGCTAAAGGATAAAGAGGGAGCTGGGACAGCGCGGGAAGGGGAAGTGCCCCCAAAACACAGGGTTTGCCAAGATGAGCTCAGGGGGACCCTTGGGGGTACCAAGGGCAGAGGGAGGCCGAGGGACGGCACCATGTGCCCAAGCAGTTGCCCCCGACACCGGCGCAGCCGAGTCGGAAAGTTCATGGCATGGGAAGAATTCCTTGCAAAGCCTTTCAAAGGGTAGAGGCTCCATTTATTAATTGAAATTCAAAAAATAATAATTAGCTCTGACATTAAGATCCTAATGTAAGAACAACCATCCCAGTGTTCCTTGTGAAAAAGTGAAATGACATGGAATGAAATCAAAACACACTTTTGAAACTAAATACAAACTTTCTAGTTATAGCTCTGGATTACCCAGTCATTTAAAGTTCCCCCAAACAGCAATGTTTATTCCTGAATAGAAAACATGGGATTCTTTTAGTTTTATTAACTTTAAAGCATGTTATTTGGACTATAAAAAAAGCCATGAAGTCAAATATCCAGCTGGTGAAAATGCCCAAGCCTCCGTGCGTTACCTCCTGGGAACAAAAATCTAAGCTCATAATTTAAAATTTTCACCGTAACTGCAGCTGCTCCATATATACGTGGAGCCTGGGCCCACAGGAGCCATTTACAAGGTTTAACTTAATTGCAGTAAGCGTCGGATGAGGCCCTGGGTGAGTTCATGGCTCAGGTTTTTTCAGGCAGCTCTGATGCCAGTAAAAGTTAGGCAATTTGTTTTAAAGAGAAAAGATTTCACTCAGGGCTATATACATGACATATATGGGCCAGAGCAGGCATTTTAAAACAAATAATCTTTTGGAAAAATATATTAACTTCAAGAACTGAAAGTGATTCATCCCAAACATTTCCAAAGTTGATATTTAGCAGAGATCCCCCGTGCTCTCCTCAAACTCTTGGGTGAGAGCACTTATGAAAATTTATAACCAGAACCTGTGGGGACTTTTTTATAAAGTTATATAAGAGAAAATGCAAGTTCAGAGGAGGAAAAATAACAAAGCCACTTTATCCATAATATTGCCACAGTAGATAAAACATCAGTGCGAGACAGTAAGAATAAACAGTGAAGAAGTGTGACCATCTTCCCCTTAACTAATTCACAGATAGCAGTAAATTAACAAGTGACGTTTATTAGTTTAATATTCAAATATGGTGAACAGAATCAAAAGACTGCTCCATATAAATGAGTGATTTTGAAACCCCTGAAATTACAATGCCAACTCGGCGAGGTGAATGCGTTTGAGCCCTGCCTGCCCCGCGGCGCCGCCTCGCGCACCCGGCCCGGCGCCTCGCGGCCCTGGCCAAGACACCTCCTGTTCCTGCAGCCCCGGCAGCAGCCCCGGAGCTCCGCGGGGTTCTGCTCGCTCCCGCCGTGCACACTTTGGCCTTTGCTCGTTTTGGGTGCTCTAGATGCGATGCTGAAGTGCTAAGCGGTAACGGGCAGGGGCTTTCTCCTCCCCCAGCATCTCTCGTTTGGTTTAAACATTAGGAAATAAATTAACCAGTTATGCATCTTTTTCTTCACAGCAAAATAAAAGAAGAAAAAAAAAAAAAAAAAAAAAAGAGAAAATTGTTTTTCAGATAAGTTTCTGAACCATGAACCAGCAAAGATTTATAATAAAAAATTTATATGCAAACCTCTGCAGTGTACTGAGTTTAAATCAACCTTATTATGCAAAGACCCTTACCTCACAACATGAAGCCAAATGCAGAAAAACTGATTGTAACCAGAGCAAAAATCTGATTGAATACAGCAGCAGCCACTGCACATTAGTAAGGTACCCCATGGACAGCTGTACAGATCGAAAATCACCCCACACAGCTCTAAAATTTTAAATTCTTGCATGTAATAAATGGAGGAACATTGTAAATACACCCGGCCCAGACCCAGTAAAAATTAAATATTTCTCGGATTTAAAGTTATATCTTCAAGTGTAAAAGGAGGACTACTTTTCTGGAGAAACTATACAAAACCCCCCTTCTCTAAATCCCCAGCTGCAGAAGTATGAAGAGTGTGCAAGAGCAGAGTCCTTTAAGGACAACATTTATCTTCCGAGTCTCCACTCACACTTGTTTCTTTAATTTTTACATACCCCATAGATTTCTTTTTTTTTTCTTTTTTTTTCTCTTTTTTTTTAAATAATATCTTTAGCATGTAAAGGGCCAGGTTTGTGGAGAACTTGGCAGAACTCATATACTTAACAACCTGAAAGCCATTATCCCGCACAGATTTAGATTAATTTGGATGCAGCTTTGACAAACATTAAATCTCTTCTTTAATGGTGTTCCTCAAACAAAACAGTTAGCAAAATATCTGAATTTCCTTGTATAATGTCACATTTTAATGTAAACATCAAATAATGTACCAAAATTTTACCGGAAAAAAAAAATTAAAGCGGCACAATTCTTTATACCACTGGAGAAGGGGGGAGGAAAAAGCCAGATTACAAACATTTACACATGCATAGTGAAAAAAATAAAACAAACAAACAAAAAAGTATTTTACTAAATTCACGCATTTTTTTAAAATAGTTATTAAATCTACTAAGCACCAACATACCTAAAAATTTATTTTCAGCTTCATGATTCATTTAAAAAACCTATCAAATTAACTTTTCAAACAAGCTTATATTACTAGCTTGTCCAAAAATAAAATGTAGAGTATTTTTTTTTATTTATTTTTAAAGTATACCAATACTTTTTATCTGAATGTTTCCAAACAATGGCATAGGTGTCTGCAAAGAATGCCTTTACTTTACCCTACAGTGGATGGAAAATACAATACCACATCATACAGAATCTAAAACTATAAAAGTCTGAGAATGCAGCATCCCTTCACAAAAAAGCTGATAAAACTGAATTTAAAAGATGCTGCATCTTTATTAAAAAAAAAAAAAAAAAAAGAAGAAGAAGAATTAAATGAATTTAACTAGAAATAACATACATTTTTACATTAACTGGCCATTTCTGGTACAGAAACCCAGCATAGTATGCTAATGTTATTGAATAAATGTAAATGCTACTTACAATCTTTTTAAATACAGTTTAGACAAACTTTTTTCTTTTTTTCTTTTTTTCCTTTTTTTTCACTTTTTTTTTCCTTTTTTTTTTCTTTTTTTTTTTTCTTTTTTTTCCTTTAAGTTGCACAGGTAACCTCTCAGCTGCTAGTTTAATGCAACACATTGGTAACATTACAAAAATTAAAAAATAACGTGTGTGGTTTTTTTTCCTACAGAAGAGCTTCCAAAAAACCCGACCCACATCAAGAAAAAAAAAAAAAAGAAAAAGCAAAATAATGGAATATAATTAAAAAAAATTAGTTGAAAGTCTAGCAGCAAAGCAATTAAGTGAGGATATATTTACTAATATAAACAAAGGGAATATTTGCAACTACAGGTGAAGCCCCAACTACCTTAGATCTACCGACACAAATAAAAATTAAATTCTCTCTAAAAAAAATATTCTGGTTATTTAAAATAGGAGTAAAAGCCATTGCTACCTGATGAGCTACCTAGGCTAAGCTCCTGGAACAGAGACAGGGGGTCGCTATTCTTTTTTGCCTGCTCCGGAGGGGCCTTGGGCTTCGGCGGGGCGCGCAGGGCGCTCGCGTACGACAT